AATTGTTTGTTGGTTAAAGGAGGAGACGGAAGATGGAGGGACATAAAGGGAATAGTTTTATCTCGCACCTCTTATTCTTGAAGGTCTTTTGTAACTATAACACACACACACACACACACACACACACACACACATATAGGCTCACCCTCTGTTCGCTCTCATTCATCTATTCATTCTTATTCACCATACGCACATAAAATTTATGCAATATACAGAGAGAGAGAGAAAGAGAGAGAGAGAGATTCAACTTTTGGCTGGTGAGAAAAAGAGACGATACAGCTTACACTAGAGAACGTTCACCAGTGCAGGCAATACAGTATACATATATATATATATACTGTACGTTTTCCCTCCCTGGCAGTGTGTGTTTGAAGTCTCTCCTCCCCCCCCTACCCCTACCCCCTTACCCCCTCACCTCCCCCTACCCCCTCCCCCACGCACCGTCAACACAACTCCTGCATCTAACTGGATCTTTATGGTACATATGTATGTTGTGTTTCTATATTGACTCGAGTATAAATGAACTGTACTAACCATATAGGTACATTTTTTTTATTATTGCGAAATTGTTTAAGTTTTACATTTCTAGTTACTTAAAAATGAGGTAATAGGTTAGGTTAGGTTCATATGACATTATCTTGCTGTGTTTGGGGTTAGGTTAGGTTAGGTTCATATGACATTATCTTGCTGTGTTTGGGGTTGTTACGAGGTCATAGTCTGTTTTTATTCATTTAATTTTGAAGGCCCTGTGGGCCAATTTAATTTGATTAATAGTTAAATCCTTGACTCTTTATATATCGAAGAAACAATTAGAGAAAAATAGTAATGTGTCTACAGTACTAGAATGACATAGCTACAAGACAATCAACTCTGTAGTGAAAGAAAAACATATTGTAATTGTTGGCAAAAATGAATCGGAACCAAAACAAATGAAATATAAAATTTATCTCGGAAAAAAAAAACCTTCAGGTGATTATTAATGGAACTAATATTTAATCTCCCGTAAATAAGTGGGAGGAATACAACAGACATACACACAGTAATGCACCTTGAAAATAACTTACATTTCCATGAATCTCAATGAAACATTTATTAGCATACGCAAGTTGTGGCATTTCCTTCCATTGTTGGTCCTGGGGGGGGGAGGGGTAATGTTGATCTGCTGGAGGAGGAGGAGCCGTGTGTGTGTGGGAGGGAGGGAGGGAGGGAGGGGAGAGGTGCTAATGGGGAGTGAGGTTTGAAGGGTGAAGAAGAACGAAGAGTGAGGTATTATGGGTAAAGTGAGAAAGAGTGAGGGGAGATGAAAAGGATGTTATCTCTCTCTCTCTCTCTCTCTCTCTCTCTCTCTCTCTCTCTCTCTCTCTCTCCACAAGGTCAGGGTTATCTCTATAATGCCCCGGACAACACAGCTGACGGCCGGTTTGCTTATTCATTATCCAGGCAGGTGAATCCAAGGTCAAGGTGAGGCTTTATCCTATGACAGGTGACGACAGCCTCGCTGTGTAGACAACCACACGTAGACAGCTGTAGACAACCACACGTAGACAGGTATAGACACGAGAGGTATAAAATCACGATGAAAACAATTTACAGATAATCTCAGGTGAAAATATACAAAATTTACAGATAATCACAGGTGTAAATTAGACCAAGTTTCGATAACCAGAAAGTAAACCATTACTACACAAGTGTATTTACGAAGACAGATACATGTACAGTCAGCCAAAGATGCACCGACCCCACCTTGGGTCTCGTGCTCGCAATTTTACCTGGCAATACTTGGTAAAGGGAGGCTGTATGTAAAGGTGATTGTGATTGGTGGATCTGTTTTCGGCTGTATCACTGTCAGGATAATTATTAAACAAACCAAAGGTAACATTTTTACAATAATAAACTATTAATTGTTATTTAAGGTCATGAGAGGTTTCCAAATGTTCGTATATTTGTTTAAACAATGAAGAAAATTATATTAATTAATTGGCAGCAACTACAACCACAGCTGCCACAAGATTCTCACTTCAAATTTTCTTCATTGTTTAAACAGCGATACAGCCGAAAACAGATCCACCAATCACAATCACCTTTACATACAGCCTCCCTTTACCAAGTATTGCCAGGTAAAATTGCGAGCACGAGACCCAGGGTGGGGTCGGTGCATCTTTGGCTGACTGTACATCCCTTTGACCTTGATTAGTTCATTCTGAGTTCTAATTCAAAGCTCAACAAAAAAAAAAGTTTAGAGGAGTTAACGTTAAGTAGATTTCATTCACTTTAGAATCTTCTAATTCAGAACATGTAGAAGTATTAAGTAGATTAAGTGGACTCTCAAGCCTTCTAACCCAAAGATCCACTTAACATTTAGACAAGTATTTTTAAAGTTGGTTCACTGTCACTTAAGAGGACTTCATGCAGCTGTCTAAAGATTAAGTAGAGATAGAGATATCTCTTAAAAGATCTCTCGCTCTATCTCATCTTGCTGTCTGGAGATCTTAAATTGTGTATGTAATTCACAGTAATTGGGAGACTGAGAGGGGGGGGGTGCGAGAGAGTGTGTGTGTGTGTGTGTGTGTGTAGGGGGGAGAGAGAGAGAGAGAGAGATTTCAGTCAAATTCAGCTTAATATTCACGAGATAGATTATGTGAATGAGTGAATGTGTTGTTGAATGAGTGAATGAGGATACCATTAGGGGAGTGACTGAGACATTGAGTGTGTGAGTGAATGAGCTTGTCTCTAAGTCAGTGATTATGTTATTGAGTGAGTGTGTTGTTGACAGTGAGTGAGTGAGCGAGTGAGTGAGTGAGTTTGTTAGTGAGTGAAAGAATCAATAAGCGTCTTGTGAGTAAAACTTCCACCAAGAGTATGAGTGAATTTAACATAATGAATGAGTCATTAAATTAAACAAAATTTAATTTGGCAGCATTCATGATTTGGTATAAGAAGTTAACAAAAATAACAATAATAATGATGAGACGTAAACCCCGCCATACAACGTGACGTCACCAGAGTGTTTAACATGTTAATTTTTGCTTCCTCGAGTACGGAAATTATCAGAGATCAACAGAGAATAGTTATTAACCCTTAAAATATCAGAATGTAAATAAGATTGTCTAAATAGTAAAGAACTATAGCGACTTTTCTTATGTCCGTCTGCCAACCAATCAGCTGCCTTGTTACAAACTGACCCTAGGCACAAGCTTTGATGTGAACAGACTATAGTTAAATGAATAAATTAGGAATATAATCAAATTTAAAACAAGAAAAGGAAGGAATATTTTATCTTTTGTTTACATTTGGTGTTCCACAAGGGTTGGGACCTCTTCTTTCTTTAGTCAATTATGTTATTATGGAATATATCACTGAGTTAAGGTGTTGTTCTTCCAGATGATGTCAAAATAGTGTTCTCCCTCCCCTCCCCCCACCTCTGTTTGTGTGTGTGGAGGGAGGGAGGGAGGGAGGGAGGGAGGGAGGGAGGGAGATGATAGAGATTGCGATGGTAATGTGAGTGTTCCATCCATGCATCCTCTTACCTACCCACCGCGTCTCTCTCTCTCTCTCTCTCTCTCTCACACACACATGCTCCTCATCCTTCTCACTCCTTCTTTCTTCTCTACCTCCTCTTTCCCCTTCCACATATCCTTCATATCCTCGACCCATCCTTACACACCTCCCTATCTTCTATCCCTACTTCCTCCTTCCCCAGTCTTCCCCCCCACCCCTCTCTTGCCCGCAGCCTCTATGATTGGCGGAAATGGGTTATTATTGTCAACAGTAGTTAGCGTTAACCAGCATAGGGCGAACATGGGAAGAGACAGGTTATGGGGTAATGGGGAAGGCGTGAGGTGAGGGAAGGGGGCGAGTAGAAATTATGGGGCAAGATGGGGTGGCTAATTAGGAGGTTTGGGGAGTCATTGAGCAGAAGGAGGGGGCGTCATGGGTAGCAGGGGCGTCATGGGTGGAGAATGGAAGGTCCGCCTGAGAGTTATGGGGCCAGGGACAAGGCCGCGTTCATGGGTGGGAATACTTGAGAATCTCAATGACTCACAGACCTACTTCGCTGTGTGTGTGTGTGTGTGTGTGTGTGTGTGTGTGTGTGTGTGGTTGGTGTGTGTGTGTGTGTGGGTGTTGTATTTGTGTGGGTGTGTTCTTGGTAATGGTGTGTATGTCTGTCTGTCTTTGTGTTTGTGTGTGTGTGTGTGTGTGTGTGTGTGTGTATATACATGCGCGCGTGTGTTTGTATATATAGATGCGTGTGTGTGCGTGTGTGTGTGTGTATATATACATGCGCGCGTGTGTTTGTATATATATAGATGCGTGTGTGTACGTGTGTGTCTGTGTCTGAGAATGCGTGTAGTAAGTCAACAGACAGACTTAACCAATTACTCTACACAAACAACAAATGTATTAGGTTGACCTTAATGAGGGTGACTGGTTAGGTTAGTTTAGGGTAGGGTAGTACACATAATTGTTACTTATACTTAGCTTACATTAGAATTACTTATTATACCCACAATTGTCCTCACATTTATTGAAATTGAAAAAGTTTATTTTGCCAGATCAGTACCGATAAAGAATGCACGGACAATAAGAACAATATTGACTTAAGGATGAAAAGTGTTAGATTTATAGTTATATTTAACTTACTCCATATTTATTGTGTTCTTATATTAATTTATATTATCTTTGACTTTAGATTTCACCAGTTTTCTATTTCCTCTCTCCCCTTCTCCTGCTCCTATCTTCTTTTTTCCCTCTTGGCCACTTTTCTTCCCTGTGTCTTATTTCTTCTCATTTACCTGTGTCCCAGTTTTATTCTTCTTCTTCCTTGTATCTGACCTTAAACGTTCATATTTTCTTTCCTTTGTCTTTTTTTGTTATCCGTTTTTCTCCCTCTCGTCCCTTTCGCCCATTTGTTTTTTCATTGTCTCTGTTTTTTCTTTTAATGTCATGTTTTCGGATCATGTTCTGACTTTTATCTCATCAAGATTTTTCTTTCATTTCAGGTCTCAAGACGTAGCTCGTGACCTGCAGCAATACCAACCATGGCGCCCTGTAGTTCAGTGTGCCAGCAGGAGCCTCGCCCAGGGCTACTACCTTCTGGGACTTCACTGCCAAGCAAACATACTAGCAGGCTGAGAACCACTAATAGCTCCATGGTAACCCCGTTGACTGCCTTGGGGGGTTCGGCTAGTACCATGACATCCAGGACTGGTTTTATTGAAGCCACAACTAGTCCGACCATGGTAGCTCCGTCTATTCTCAACACGGATTCTTTGACGAGTCTCCGCGAGCAAGTTCTCCCGCTGAACACGTCCCTCAGCTATACACCTCCCATTGACGCTCCTTCATCAACTCTCGTCCAGATAGGAGGAACCTGTCATCAACCAGCATACACGGAGACACAGATGAAGCCACAAATCCACCTCCTCACAGATAAGACGATACTCCCATCGAAACTCAGAGACGGTACTGAGAACTCCATATACTTTAGGAACATGGCGTCTTTGCCCAATACAGCGCCCAGCGACACGAAACCTACCATATCTGAATCGTCATCTTGGGTGTCATCTGTGGCATCCTCAACTGAAGTCCCTCAAACTTGCCCCTCTCAAACTCGTTCCTATCGGAGTCCGCCCTCGGCCATCTTACCATCTCCGACAAAGACGCTTGCTAAGACTTACTCCAGTGCCGCCGCAAAGACCAGCGTTGCTGCCACTAACTCCTCCTCCTTTACACCCACTCCGCCGCCATCGTTGTTAGATAAGAATCGCGCCGCCCGCCACCCCGCCCTCAGCTCGGGTGGGTGGAGATGGATGGCGGTGCTACTGGTTGTGCTCCAGCTCCTGGCCCACACCACGCCCACCCTCGCCCAAGTTGTTGGTGAGTGTTGACGCTTGTTTTTGTTGATGGTGGAGAGAGAGAGAGAGAGAGAGGTGTGTGTGTGTGCGTGTATTATGCTTGACACTCTCCACTTTACTTTGGTTTACGATTATTGCTCCACTTTTTATTAGAATTATTTATTACTGCTATTATTACCATGTTTGTGATAGGAGAGAGAGAGACCATCACCAGTTAACTCTTTCTCAGATCACAATCATTACTCCACTGATCATTACATCCCAGTAATTGCCATAGTTGGAAAATTAACCAAAATACCTATTATTTATCGTGCAATCTGCAATATTACTAATTATGACTTTGCAACTTTGTCTTGGGGAAGATTGACTGGTTGATAAGATTGAAAGAATAATGTTGTTATTGTTCTTGTTATCTATTGGTTGATGGGTATAATGTATTTATTTGTTGTTGTTGTTTTTGTTTAGTGATTTATTGAACTAAATAATCAGATAAGGTAAAAGATGTAGTGACAGTGGGGGCATAAATAGTGTTTTTTTGTGTGTTGGTTTGTAAGACGAGTCTGACAGATTTACTACACGGGATGCGAAGAAAGTAATAAATAAATAAATAAATACGATAAATAAGATGAAGATAAAAGGAAGACAGATAGAATATAAGACTCCAGTAGTGATGATGATGATTAGGATAACGTTAATAATGACGATGGGGGATAATGATGATAAAGATAATAATGACGATGGGGGATAATGATGATAAAGATAATAATGACGATGGGGGATAATGATGATAAAGAGTTTAATGACGATGATAATGTTAATGAGGATGATAATGACAATTATAATGATACTAATTATGATAATGAAACTGCATTATAAAAGCCTTCTTCTCTTCTATTTACTTTATGCAAATGATATGTTGTTTAAGTTTAAAACATTTAGACGTTTTCTTAAGTATTTCCTGGAGAATCACACACACACACACACACACACACACACACACACACACACACACACTCTTTTGGGGGACCTCTCTCTCTCTCTCTCTCTCTCTCTCTCTCTCTCTCTCTCACCTAAGAAACACTCAAGTAGGGGACTATTCCTACCCCTTAAGCGCTGGTTTAGTGGGGTGTGTGTGTGTGTGTGTGTTTGTTATCTTGAGCGCTCGTTAAGTATACGCTTGAGGGTCTTGTCTTAGTAGCTGTGCTTAAGTGCTTAGTGTTTGAACGACAACATTTATGCGTTAGTGTTCTATAATTAGTGGAAAGGGTAACGAGAGAGAGAGTATCGTTTCTTTAACTTCCAGGAAAACGTTACACTACTGTTAACATTCAGTTTTATCTCGTTAAGTGCCGTGTATTGCGAGAAGGTTGATGACGTCACAATTGAACTCCTTGATGCCGTCACACCTAAACTCCTCCTCCTCCGGTATTTCACTTTACCCGCTTTCGTACACCTTCAGTTATTACTACCAAATTCAATCTTTTATTTTTGTTCTCGAAAAATTGTGTAAATATTCAGTTTAATGAATATCCGGACTTAAAAAACCTGGTAAAGATTCACTAATACTTACATTACGAACGATATAAACAAACTAATTTTATTCGGCCAAACTAAAAGTCTTCTAAAAATCATCATGCTGTGTTTATATACAATAGAAATAGAGTTGTCATAATTGTCAAATATTTTTTTTTAAGACGGGAATATTATCCGAGTCTGAGACGGTAATGATAATGTATAATGTAATATTTTTTCTCATTAAAGTTTCTTGAAAATTTATTTATCATGTGGGGACGAGGGTGTTCCCTCCCCACACCTCCCCTCCCCACCTCTCTCCCCTCCTCTCTGCAATCCTCCATCCCCACTTCCCTCCCCACCCCATTTTAAACTTTCCTCAATGCTTCCCTCTCCACCTCCTTCCCTACCTCCCTCTCCACCTGCCTCCCCACCTCCCTCTCCACCTGCCTCCCCACCTCCCTCTCCACCTGCCTCCCTACCTCCATCTCTCCACCTGTCTCCCCCTCCCTCTCCACCTGCCTCCCCACCTCCCTCTCCACCTGCCTCCCTACCTCCATCTCCCTCCCTCTCCACCTCCCCACCTCCCTCTCCCCCTCCCCCACCTCCATCTCTCCACCTGCCTTCCCACCTCCCCCCACCTCCCTCTCCACCTGCCTCCCTACCCCATCTCTCCACCTGCCCCCCTCCCCACCCACCTCCCTCTCCCACCTGCCTCCCTCCATCTCTCCACCTGCCTCCCCACCTCCCTCTCCTGCCTCCCCTACCTCCATCTCTCCCTGTCTCCCCCACCTGCCTCCCACCTCCCTCTCCACCTGCCTCCCCTCCCACCTCCTCCCCACCTCCCTCTCCCCTGCCTCCCCCCCTCCCTCTCCCACCTGCCTCCCTACCTCCCTCTCCACATGCCTCCCCACCTCCCTCTCCACCTGCCTCCCTACCTCCATCTCTCCACCTGTCTCCCCACCTCCTTCTCCACCTGCCTCCCCACCTCCCTCTCCACCTGCCTCCCTACCTCCCTCTCCACCTGCCTCCCCACCTCCCCAAACATTAATTCTTCCTCGTCTCTTTAAACTCAGGTGTTTATTATATGAAGTAAATAAATTAGAAAATAAAAAAAGAATTAAAATGACCTGGACACAAATAATAAACATAAATGCATTGAAAAAATGGCAAAATATTTCGCCTTTATAATACCGATATTTGTGATGTTATTTTCAACTGTTTATTTTTAACTATTATCATCAGGCAGTTTATTAACATTCAGGGCTGTTTCTTTACTTTCATCGTCCCTTGACCGTTTCTTCATCAGGCAGTTTAAAATATCGCAGTCAAGGCTTTAAAACTGAGGTGAAGATAACTCAACCAAATGAAAAAAAAAGTATTGTTTTCACAGTTTGTAGTAGTTAAGGTCAGCGAGTGTAGTGTTCATCTCTTTAAAAATATAGTTATTTTGGGACTGTTTAAAACTTATGTATCAAGCGAGACTCATTATGTCAAGTGTCGTTTTGATGCAGTTTAGAATATACAAAGTGTCTACCTAGTGTTCATGACTGTACCTAGTGCTCATGACTGTACCTAGTGTTCATGACTGTAGCTATAGTGTTCATGGCTGTACCTAGTGTTCATGACTGTACCTATAGTGTTCATGGCTGTACCTAGTGTTCATGACTGTACCTAGTGCTCATGACTATACCTAGTGTTCATGACTGTACCTAGTGTTCATGACTGTACCTAGTGTTCATGACTGTGCAGTGTCATGGCCAGCAGACAGCGTGGGTAGTGGAGGAACAACTAATCAACATAATGTCCCCGCAGGTGTGAGTGTCGTAACTCTTGTTCCCTCTCATAATATTGTGTATAAAATGATAAATACAAGTATCCATCTGTACTGTACTGCCAGGACCATCTCTTGTATATAAAACTATACAGGGATAGACGTTGTTTATTTTAATTCTTTATACAAAGCACATCTGGTATCTTAGAGTGCCGCTGGTTGTAAGGCAGACACATAAGTTAAAGAATTATTCATAGTACTTCACAATGAGTCAAATATTAACCAAGGATGAGTGATGTAGAAAAATATAGTGAGTATTGACGAAAACGTGAGCTATAATATATAAAAAAAAACGTAGCGAGAGTTATAGAAAATGTAGTAATTATTACAGAGAACTTAAGAGGTTAGGCAGTTTGTCTCTCTCTCTCACTTGCTTGTACACTATCTCTCTCTCTCACACCTGGCGCATCCCTTTGTCTCTCCTTGTGTCGATCCAAGCACTTGAAATTTCTCTCACTTGTAGAGATTAATTCTCGCTCTTGTATCTCAGGTCTTGTTTGTAAACTTCCCTCACTTCTCTCAGTCACTCTCAGCTCATGCCATCTTAATCAAACGTTCACGTGTGTGTGTGTGTGTGTGTGTGTGTTTCTCTCTCCTGTTTATCTTACCTTTGTAATTATTAGTAAAATTTTTCCAGTCTCTCTCTCTCTCTCTCTCTCTCTCTCTCTCTCATATGTTGTTGTGTCACCCTTGGCCACGCATCATCAGCTCGTGTCATGCAATCAGGAGTTCACAATCCAGAAATTTACCTTGAGGCTACGATCCCTGTGTGTGTGTGTGTGTGTGTGTGTGTGTGTGTGTGTGTAATCGGTATTCTTTAAAGTATGGGTTATAGAGAGAGAGAGAGAGAGAGAGAGAGAGAGAGAGAGAGAGAGAGCTTCACGTTCCGTTATATTATTAATCACAACACCAGCGAACTAATGAGAGGAAAATGTCCCATCTGTTTCTTTAATAATCTCTATTACACTCGCCCATTTATCCTTCAGGTTACGAGATATTTAACAGTTAATTTGCACAGTAATATCATAGAGATTTTAGATGTCGACAATAGGAATGAAAGTAATGATTCACTTCTTTTTAATGATGTTGGTACACTCGATCGAGCTGGGTGTGTGCGAGTTTAAACAAATGCTATTGTGTAGATCCGTTTCAGTTGAGATTAATTTGTAATATTTATTCCTTTTTACTTTATTTTATTTTCTGTATATATATTTTATCTTATTTTTATTTTATTTTATTTTTATCATTGTATTATATTGATCTAATGAGGAATACACGAGTGAAATGAATAATCTGTGTCGCGTCTATAAAATGATCACCACAGATTCATAAAATTACAGGACTTTTGCACACTTTACCATCAGCCGTATAACAATGTAGCATGGGAATATGACTTTTATACATTTATAAATACATTATCCATGTAACATAATTATTATACACAGGTGGATGAAAGAAATTAATGTAATTTATACATTATCAACGCTATACAGTCACGACTTTGTGAAACGAGAAATGTCAGTGTTAAGCCAATCCAAAGTGTAGTTTGTGCAATTGACAACTGTGCAATACCTAAGGCTAAAAATATGAATTGTGCAACATCTATCATAGAACAGTGTTGCGTCACAGAGCAGGACGGTGACTATTACACATGTTTACCAGTTTATTAACGCTGT